AAGCGTAAATCCGAAAAACGAGCGATTTGGCCATTCATTAGTGTTTTATTGTTCCGTAAGTCGGCACAAGAGTTCTCCTCATTTCCAGCCGCAATCGTTACGGGTGTTCCATCCGGAACGGGTCCGAGCGCAAACACCGTAAACGGAGACGGAAGCGATTTGTTGGAACGCCAATGGGTCGGCAACGCCGTACAGATCACATCCGGACATCCAGTCGACAACAGTTTTGTGCTTGCCGTTATGGCGCTTAACGCCTCTTCCAAACCCATCAGAACTTTATCATAGTCAGCTCCCATTTTCTGCAATAACAACAAAACTTTTGTAGATTGGATAATTCTCTCCAAAATACTTCATTAATCGAATCGACCATTCGGTATGAAACACAAGCTGAAAACGGATATCTAATCAGTCACATTCGGCTAATCGATGTAGGAATATAGAAAAAATGAAGCAATTAAGTAATTCCCTGAAAATTTCAACTGAACAAAGAATTTTTGAGCAGTTTAGATCAAATCAAATACATATATATCCAACTGATTGTGAGCAAAGCCTAATTAAGTTCCACATTCCACCTTTGTATAACAGTATTCGCTTTGGCCCGAACCATAGACAAGAAATTGCAAATATCCAATTGAAAGATTTTCAAACAGCGCTACTGCGGTCACCAGTAGGCAGCCAGCTATTACAGGTATAATAAATAACTGGTTGAGGTGTGCTCGTATTTACAGGTGTATAAATCGAAAAATTAAGATGGCGCTCGAGGCGTCAGTGCAAAATTGCAACGAAATTGATGAACGACTACATGAAAAAGCGATTAGATGAAGAAACGTTAATATCTCTTATCCGTTCCCTATTACAACACACACATAAACACACACACAAACGGCAAATCGCAGATAATCAACTCAAGTTTTCAACTTAAGACACATCGACGAAATGTCACGTTCAATCAAAACTTTTTGACCCCTGATAACATATGTTCTCTGTGTTGGTTTTCTTTGAAAATGCCAATGANTATCCATTCCCTATTACAACACACACATAAACACACACACACAAACGGCAAATCGCAGATAATCCACTCAAGTTTTCAACTTAAGACATGTCACGTTCAATCAAAACTTTTTGACCCCTGATAACATATGTTCTCTGTGTTGGTTTTCTTTGAAAATGCCAATGAGCTGTGTTGCGATCAAAAGTGTATCTATCACATCAGTAAAAACTTGTATTCTACAAGATCAAATAAATTCTCGAAATATTCTTCATTTGACACATATCAACCATCATAAGCCTAAGCAAACAAGTACAACACATGTTTTGGTTGAGTTACAAGCTAACGAAGATAACATAACATCTTTTGAGTGGACTCGCTGATAACATCGATAAAAAGTGACAAAAAATAAGATGAATGTGTCAACAACATACATGTTCATTAGTTCGCCAATGATTTTTTGTGTTTTTTGTGCGAATGTCTGAGCGACTAAAAGCCTCAGAAGTTAACGCTAAGAGGCAATCTAGTACTTGCCGATACAATATCAAACATAATTTTGTGTTTATCACATTGTTGATAATTGAAAATTGATAACAGTGATCATATTTATCAGTATCGATGAGAGAGCGATTGTGATAAGATTCGTCAGCAGTATTATCAGTATATCAGCGGATAGAACCAGAACTGCAGCTAGAACAATGATATCATTGATCTATTCATCCATTGTTTAAGTTTGTTGGTTGCTGATGGATTTGAAACAATGCAATACGTTCACCGCACGTTTGAGTATGAATTGAATCTGTATTCTAATAAAGATAAAGAAGATAAAGTAACTCTGAAATATTCCATCTCGAAGAGATAAAGATAAATTCTTACAAAAAAAAAACGAATTGCAACCACGCAGAAAGAATTCCTCTAAGAGATGACTGATTACAAAATGTTGACGTGAACATATCATACACCTGATTGAACATAACTGAACACGAGTTAAGCAAACAACACAATAAATCACTGCTTAGTATCAGCCTCAAGTACAATTTAATTGCATTGCTGGCTGGTGAGATGCTGCTGCTGCTGCCGCTGCTCAGAAAATGAACAACCGAAAATTTTTGATCCCTGATAAAAATTTTTAATGTTTCACTTAGTTTCATCCTTTTTTCTCCTATCCATTTCTTTAAATCATTCCCTTTTACCGAAAGATTCAAAGCCATTAGTCGAGAAAGCAACCAATAAGACATACGTAGACGGGTTTGTTTGCCCATCCAATCATCCATTCAGTAGTTATCTGCCGAACTCGTTTGAGGTATTTTACGATTGGATCAGCCATTATCTTATCTTATTGTTAGCTTCCAGTCAATTGGGATATTGCTTTTACACATCTCAATATCCGCTGGCTTTGTGTTTTTCAAACGACATAACAAAGTGGCATGGAATCAGCAAGGCAAACCAATACAAAGTGAAGAAAACGATGAATAAATTTGTATCCGCATCTTCAGCTGTCGATTTTGAACAATAAAGTGAATGAAAGCTTGAAATTGTTCTCCTCACCAACAAATAATGTCAGATTATCGAACATTGAACACTGTGGAATACGGAATACACGATACGGTCAAGTGGATTTACAAACAATGCATTCATCTTAGCTAATTTGATCACTGGTTGATCACAGAAGAGATCAGCTCTGGGAAGACGACTGACTGCGTAGGGTTTGTTTGGTTTCTGGGTTTTGGATTTTAAAAAGTTTATGGAGTTGTTAGCATCCTCCATACGGTAAGGGAGATGTTCGAAACTGAAAGTGATTGAAAGAACGGTAAAATGGCACATAAAACCACCAAAACCACCCATCAACATGGTGCACCAAAGAGCCGAACGAACCGCAGACAATATCAGGTTTCTTTCGTAGATCTTATTCATTGTCGGGTTTGTTGGTAATGGGTTTCGTACGACATTGATACGAAGCGAGTGCGGGCAAATGGGCAAAATCGAAGTTGGCTGTGATAGATAAGATAAATAAGAAAGATTTATCGTTAGATAACTTTGTGGGTGTGTAAATGTAGATGAAAAAAGGCATGAAACATACCTAGATGTGAATGCATGCGCGTTTATGTGGTATAATTAATGTTAACACGTTCGTTAATGTTTCTGATTTTATCACCAACACATCATGCCGTCCTTCGTCAACCCGACCAACCAACCATGCAGCAACAGCAACAGCTATGCATTCATCCATCAGTCACTTCTTTCTGATGAACTGAGAAGATAAGATTCTCTATGTTATGCGCCTAATAAAAACAATCGTTCTGATGTTGTCTCCTTGTCAGAGGTATTTTGTTTTATAGAATTGAGGAATCGCTTCGATTAGAGAACTTAGCGTTAGAAGGCAAAGTGCTTATGAAATTTTGAAGAGATGTGGAGAAAAGAGAACAATTGTGAGGTTAGTTGGTTGCAAGATGGTAGGTTTATGGTGCGAACATGTTAAACGCTGACTGATCGCCGAAAAAGTTGAAGAAAAGGTCTCCCTCCTCCAGTCGTCGCTGCTATCAAAGAAGATTCCGACTACTCGCGATCGATCTTCCATCTTGCTTCGACTCTTTCAACTTTAACAGAAAGGCGTAAATGCATACGCTGATTTATATCTTATACAACATCTATCTTCTCAGCTCTATGATGGTAACAATAATAATAACAATAATACTTAACGATAATAATAATAATAATAACAGTAATAATATGAAGAACCTCACGGTCGACATGCCCACAATTCCAATTGTAATAAATATTGNAAATACCCTCGATGTATTATGAATTTATAACTCTAACTTCATCAGTCCATAAACTTTCATAACTCCATTATACGACACCAACACCGATAAACCAATAAAATCAAAAACATAAGTTATAGTTGGCAGCAGAATAATGTGAAACAAATGAAAGTGAATGGAATCGCATTGAATTTCGTGAATGAAGTTAGTTCCCTTTGAAGTTTTCTTTTCACTGTAAGGAATTTGCTTAACTCGCAATAATAATAACACAGTAATAATAATAATAATAATAACACAAACTATCCCCACAATCTGTTTTCATCTCACTTCATTTTCATTATACTGCATTTTTATGTCTATCTCATTTCTAAAACATTATTATTCATACCACCTCAAATATACCACCACTGAATCAAACCAAAACAATGCGAGGAGATTGAGATGATCCATATCTTGGAAACCATCTAATCTATTGTTGATGTGGTGGCTGGTGGCAATCGAATGACCGCCGTGACCCGACCCGCAAAGAGTGTATGAACCACGAACCGTCGTAGCTATCGGGTAATCTTTTACGTCTTAACGCCATACCGCTAACCAGTAACCTCTAACTGCTAGTCCCTAACACCTCAAAACGCGATTGCTGAATGAGCCCAAACTTTTCACATCTATGACTGATAGTGAATCGGGAAAAAGCAAAAGTTACCCAAACCACAAAGATTTGCCATCTCACGATCAAATTGCCATCAACATATTACATCATGACCTCAACAAATGACAAGTCAAACAATCGCATCATCCTATCGTTTTTCTCACTAAACCTTTGCGTTTCGTATCCACAATCCTCTGCTGCCACCTTCTCATAACAATTTCTATCCTCCGCATATAATATCTTGTCATATCGTTTCATTATCACCCTCTTATCTATATCTTATTTCACGCTTATCACTCTCGTATTATCACCAGGTTGCTATAATCCATTCTCGTATCACCCGCCTATTAAATCAACATAACATTCGTCTCTACCTCACATTCCAACTCTTTCGTCAACTAGCCTCAGTCCCTCTCAAGACCTCAAATAAGCAGTTGTAATTGTAATCGTATGTAATTCATCATTGAGCATTAAGAAAACATAAAACATAAAACCCTCAGCTCAGCGTCCATTCTATTAAAACTCTAAAGTCGATCGCAGAGCTCAGGCTAAGGCTTAGGCTAAGGCCAAGTGTTTCATCTCTTCAATTTTACAATAACAACGACAACAACACAACCTCAACCTCATCCACACTCAAACCGAACAATTTATTTTTAACTCATCAACTAAATCACCACCCCACCACAAAAAAAGATACCAAAATCAATTTTTTTAAAATACCGACGAAGTAAGAAAGGAATAAGAGCAAGTAAAAACCACTAGTATCTTAAAAGGGAATTAGAATGGTGGCCTATGCTACGGACATTCATGAACCCTTCTTCATAAGACGCCTGATGATCAGATTGCTAATAATAATAATAACAACAATATTTTATGGATTAATATTCTCAACTT